CCGCTATATCACCTGCGTAGATTCCTTGGATTAGAACTTCCTTGCTTGGAATTGCGTTTGTCTCCAAATCTGCGTCTTGGTTTGACTCGAACTTATTCTTGAACTCAGACTTGGGTAATTAAATCTAACAGTAATTATGAAGATATCAACATCTTGCACAAACATGTGATAACTAGAATGTCTCAACCTCATGAATATTTTGTTTTCATCCCACTAGTTATGGATAATTTTTGTTTTCGTTGCACTATTTATATCGCAAGTTTGGTGGTGTTGAGAGGAAGGTTGATGTGTAGCCTTCGTCAGTTCCCGATTATGGATTAGAGTATGAGATTTATTGGACAGTATATTCATTTCCATGCGAAACAATTTCCTGTCGAATGTTCGTTAAATAATTTGCATAACCATTATCTCATCCACTCGTAGTTATTGGCATTGTAACCTCCAAGATAGTTTTTGTTAACGTATATTGTTTTTCTGGATGCTTTCATGTGATTCTAATCTAATGAACATTGCCGTTAGCATCGGCACAGTTTAAGGGCACAAAAATGACCGTATTCGACCCCTAACTGGATGTCTGGCATAGGAGTGTGCCACAGATGAGCGTTGTACCGGTTTCATACTCTTGGAGGGACTATTGGCGAAACCAAATCCTCATTTAAGGCAGTCTCATTCTTCTGATCTTGGTGTGTTGTTTTGTCGAGATAAAGTGATGATAACAACTGTATATGGGTGAAACTTAAATTGTGTTGGACGAATAGACGAGGCATTTAAATTGTTCAATCCCTCGCGGCCATAACTTTCAGATTATTCATGTGTGGATATGTCGAGAGCTTGAACTGAGCAGTTATGCATAGGCTTTTCATGGCTTACGCTAGCAGAAGTCTGTTCTGTCCGTCCACCTCGACTAAATTCGCAGCGTGTCTTCGCAGCGTTTCAAGAGATTGCATCGAGCAGCGTTCCACAGGGATCTCGTTAGAATGCCAGTTTTGTCTGCGCTCTTATTTCGTATGCTGTTCTGCTGGGGCTTTCAGCTCTTGAATGTTGCGGAATGCGAACCACTCGACGACAGTTCCGACTGGGCATACGTTAGGGAATCGTCATAAACGTTCTTCTAGTACAATCATGCAGTAGGGATAATGATACAACAGCTCAAGTGAGAGCAAAAGACATTCCCAATACATTGATCGAGATATTTCCAAAAATATTTTGAATCCATGAATACATTTCCGAATCACAAATGAAAGTATGACGCTTTATGTTCATTCGTATTCTTTTGAGTTTTCATACAATTCTCACGTCGGGTTAACGGTTCAGCTGCACTCAATTGGTGATTCAGTTGAAAACTTCATTAGTGTGGTTACATGCATCGTTATGTTTTCGTCTGTCTGAGTAACCAAAGTTGAACTCTTGCGTGAACCAGACTCTCTGTTCTGTTCCGCCCCTCTGCTGTTGTGTTCTATTCTGTTCTATGCGTTCATCTGTAATATTTGGTATTTCGTTCTTATTCCTGCTCTGTTGTGTAGCGTATATTATAAACGCATAATGATGTTACAATAATCGTAGTTGAAAGCTTATTCGAATAATCCTAAATATTTACCTCCTTTATAGTTGTAATTATTTTTCAGTTAACCCCTAATTAATTTGGGAGGCATTCTTCACTCGACGCCCAATTTCTTCTCATGATCACTAGATCTAGTGCTCTTCAGCAGATGCGATTCGTTGTTTGGGACTTCATTTAGAATGAAAAACTGACTTAAGTGTTAGATTCTGTTCTTTGTGTTGTCAATTTTGCTCACAAATTTGTGTTTTTCTTGGAGGCCACAAAATTCTTGTTTGACAAATGTGAAATATCTGTAAGCGATGGTATTAAACTGAGCGAATCGTGAGTACACGTCTTAGTTTTCTGCTAGTCAGTTTCACAATAATTGAATATTGTTGGTCACTTTTGATGTCCTTTTTGAGTAACAATGCAGTTTGAGACGTAGATATCGGATAATCACGGGATTCTTTCTTTTCTCTTCTGACAAACATCGGATGGAATATGTGGCAATAACTCAATTTACAGTGTCAGTTGAAAACAGTGGTAAAAATTGATGTATTTATTCAAATCAATATGCTTTATCGTAGCGCTTCATAGACTTCTTATTGCGACCTCTAGGAGGTTTATGTATTGACTTGGAGGTGGCTAAAAATTTAGTAACAGTAAAGTAATACGGTTCATGAAACGTAAAGCAGTAGGATTTTTTACAGGCAACCGGGATTCGTTTTAGATGTTATTCAGCGAATGTACGTCGCGAATGAAGAAAGAAGTTCATGAAGCGCTGTTTTGTAGAGTCGCATAATGCAATTGTACTGTACGGTTCAGTAGAAAACAAACGTTTTGTCACACGACTTCATCACACAACATCACTTTCTGCTAATTGGCAACAACCAAACGAGAATTTCGTTCACTTGGAGTCAGACGCAATCTACTTTCGTCTACCGAACTTATTCGAGAAAAAAACTGCAAATTGTCAAAACCGAAATTCGGCTGATTGGTTCATGCTTCCTCAAAAGTGATTCAGTTTGTTCAATTCGAGATTCTCATCACTGAACCGGATATGGACTAACCGCGAATAATTGCAACTGTTTCATCATTCATTTCAAATCAACTTTCTTATGAATTTACGATGCAAAATTGCAAAAATAGAAAGTGTTCATTGATATTCACTACGAGTTCATGAAATCTTGCATTATTTTGTTGGGATTGAATAAATTCGTGGCTGAAGCACTTTTTTGACTGCTGCTGATGAACCTGAAATGATTGTGAAAATTGATTAAGATCGATTGAATATAATGTTTCGAGCCATTCACATTCGATGAATGCGGCTCAATTTTCAAACCGATTTCATTTTTACAAGTGTTTTTCCAAATCTATTTCAACTCTCAATTTTCAAACCTTTTCTGTGCCTTAATTTAGCGTTATGAAAAGAAAGTTTTCTTGACACAAAATGCTGAAATTTTGCCATCCATTTCTCATTTAAAAACAGTTCATTTTTGAATCATTTCAAAGAATTGACTTGTGTATATCGTGTCGTCTCACAATTTCATCAATTCGATTCCTTCGTTTTGTATCGTAATCTGCACTAACGTTCTTCTGATACCTCCCTACCAACGGTGAATTATTACCGCTTGATGGAGAAGCACCAGTTGATGTTGTCTGCAAATGAATAAAGGTACCTTGCAGAAAGGTTCTTAATTGTTTCACACTTCTTCATCATCTTAGGCAAGAGCATAGGTGCTATGATACTGCAAAGGTGATTGCAAACAAAATTCGAAAACTCTCGTAAAAAATATACGATGGTTACAAAAAATCACAAATGAATTAGAATGATATGATTGATAAAATAAGCACGGCGCTATCAGACCAATTGTAGAAATGTTTTTAACTGTAAAAGTTATTGAAAGGTTTCAAGCAACAATGCAGATGTCATCCAAAAAATGGATGCTCATCTAGATATCGCTATCTGATCTTATTGATGTTCTGTGATCTTTCTTGTTCACGACACTGAAAGCACTCAGTGGCCTTTATTAAAGCTTACGATTAGTACAACCATGCATTTTCATCAACAACATTGTTATTAAACTGTTCAAAGCACGCATACAGAACTATAAGTAATCAAACACATTCATTTTTACAGCAGTCCACAAGAACTGACCGATTGTGGCGAAGGTGGATCTGATCGATGATTGAGAAGGTTGCCTTCGGAAAATTGACGCAATAAAGTAGTTTTCATGTGGTTACTACGTTTCGTGTGTGAATCCATCGAATCCATTTCACCATTCGAATCATTCGGAGTCAGCGGCATCAGACGTCGTCTTCTCTCCTTTAAGCGTCGAGCGAAATCTCTTTCGTACAAAGGACAACACTCACGAATGCATGGAAACGTAACGTTGCGCCTGCATGACACATTCGTGAACGCGCACTGCAGGATGATGATGAAGCTGTAGACAACTCACTGATTTTGGTGAGAATTCGCTCGATGCACGACTCCAACAACAACTGCTTTCGGAATGTTGCCGGAATAAGCAAAGTTGTATGAGATTATCACGTTTCCGTAATGAATCCAACGCCGTTTCGCCGTTATAATCAAATGGTGTGAACGGCATCAAGCGCCGTCTTCGTTCCTTTAGCGAATAATTCGCTCGTTTAGTGTCCTGAGAATGAAATGCTTTTCAACTCTTTGAAAATACTCAGGCACTGACTCAGATCCGATGCACCACTACGAATTACGAGAGCGAGAAGCAGGCCGTGCATCAGGACTCGGAAAGCTGGAGCACTGATTCAAAATAAAAGCTAAAGATGTTAGCAATCATCATCTTTGAATTTGAAAGCTTGCTGCTGAAAGCGATCATGCAAGAAGTGTTATTGTGCACGTACGCTACGTAACAATCCGCAGTATGCTTATCCAAGTCAAATGACTAAGTGCAAAAAAAAACGAACGCAATGCATTAAGCAGTACTGCACGTTGCCTTACCAATTTTGATGGGGATGTTTTGGATCGGCGCTTCAGAAGATTGCCCTCGGAATACTGACGAAACAAACTCGCTTTCATATAATCACTTTGTTTGCTTGACAGTAAATCCAGTGCTGTATTACTGCTGTGTGCTAGTGGCGGTAACGGCGGCATCATACGCCGTCTCCGTTGACTTGGATAATGACTCAAATCCTCTTCCTGTCCAAACGAATGAACAAAGCTCATAATGTGTCTTTGAATGGTATCACACAAACATGTTAGATATAAGCAATTCAACGGTGATTCGTTAGTAATGTTAGTCACGTTACAGCCTTGCGCACAGAACTTGCGAATGAAGTATGAAATACTATACCTCTCGAGACGAACCTGCGGCAAGTTGCCTAATTCGCTCTCTGCTTGCCAAGTAATCGGCTCGATCGGTCAATTGCGCTGCAAATACAGCCAATTTGTTCATCTGAGATTAGACTGCAGTTCGGAGATACACTCTGAGGAGATGACAAGCGATATGTTTCAGTTTTCACAAATAATCCAATAATCATTTAGGATTAATCGTTTTTTTGGATCTTCACTCGAATAACTTCAGAATTTTGGATAAAATCATCTTTCTTATAATGATAATCTCGGAAAACCAAAGACTGACTGAATGTCAAAAGTGCGTTTCAGAGTGTGCAATTTATCTTTATGCGACAATTTGGCTATACCAATTTTACGGGTATTCTAATTGAATGTGATGTCATCCATTTCTCTGTATCCCATTCTCTTGCGAAGGATAATTTTCGAAGAACAAAAAATTTTGGATGGCCGATTGTTGTGTGTGTCAAACGAGTTCCAGAGTTGTCATTCAAATGTGCTCAAATCTGTACGACTCAAAGATGCAATATCTGAAGTTGAACATCATACCTCTCTCAGCATCATTAGAGTCATTGATGACAGCAGCAGATTTGGATCGTTGATAAGGTTGCGGCAGTCTACGAATGTAGAATGCACCTTCACGACGAAGTGCAGGACGCGATTCATTCGATGCACTGTTCGAAGGCGTTGCTTCAAAAGCGAAACGAGATGCACCAGAACGTGTTTCCTTATGCGTGCTCGGGGGAGGTCTGCAACTTTTTGTATGTGTATTGCGATATGAATACCACGATTGTACACCATATCTTTTAGTCATTTGAATTCGCTATAAAACGTGTAGGTACGAGAAAAGCTGACTGCTTCCTAAAATAACTGCGGAGTTGTTGACGAGGTTTCAAACTAAAGTGCACTTAATAACGTTACTGCTAACTGAAGAAGAGCAACGAAGATCTGAATAAGAGTGTAACCGGTCAATCTGCCTAAAGACATTTTGCCTAACGACAATTTGCCTAAAGACACATTGCCTAAAGGACAATTTGCCTAACGGACAGTTTGCCTAAGGAACAGTTTGCCTACTAAGCGAAATATCCATTAAAAAACCCTAAGTTAGGCAAACTGTCTGTTAGGCAATGTGTCTTTAGGCAAATTGTAGTTAAGCAAAATTTCTTTAGGCAGATTGACCGGGTACCGAAAAAGAGAACTCAGTGTGAATCTATGACAATATTATCGTCAGTTCGCTTACGAAGTTTGCGACGACAAATAATTTCGTATAAATTCTGAACACGTGGTTATAATGGCAAAATGCTGAGCGTTGGATTCAAAGATTCCGTAGTCTGAAGAATATCACCACAATCTGTTGAACGATTGGGAGTGTTCGTCATCGAATAAACCTCACCTCGGTGGGGTTCCAGTTGCAAAATGTGTTTCGGAATCGTGTCTGTTACTGTTTTCATTTTCATGCGACTCTTTTACTGAGCCTGAATGTACCAAATGTGATTATAATTTCAATCCAAGGTTAAAAAATAATTCGATTATAAGTTCAAAAAAATCAAAATACCATCGTAAAAATTTGCCATTAACAACGAATATCACTACTACAGATATTATAAATGATATTATTATTGATTGTACTTCTAATATTGGTATAAATTGGATCATTCCTCGTTGAAGACATATTTTGCGGTGAAACTTAATAAGTGACACTTTTTTTCGAAGATTCAATAAATTTTTCAGTGAGAAGTGCATTTCTTCTTTCTATTATTGCGCTTTTACTCATAAACTTTCGCATTAAAATAACCGTTCGAAAGTTTGAGGCTAAGTGTTCTCGATTCACACTTTCATATCAGTTCCATTTGTTTTCCTAATTGGAACGATAATGGGATATATTCAGTGTTGGGCAATAGCGCGCTATTCCGCTAGTCCGCTAATAGCGAATAGCGGAATAGCGGAATAGCGATATCGGAAGTTCGAGTGAATAGCGGAATAGCGATAGCGGGAACGGCGCTATCGC